CTCTCTCTCTCTCTCTCTCTCTCTCCCCCCCCCCTGTATACACACACACGCTCCTAAAAAAAAAAAGATATTGAGTGCATCAGCGGTATCACTAATTTGCGCATGGCGCATGGCGCACGTGCACTGCAAGTATGGTACAAACCGACATATAGACAGATTTACCCACGTTTACCTTATGGGTATAAAGTACTATAAATCCACATATACCCTGATTTGCTCCATCTGAGTATAAACCATAGTTGCAGCGCACTGCTCCGGTGCGTGATGCAGTGCGGTGCGCCGTGCGGAATGCACTCTGGGACACCGCACGCGCATGTGCACAGCGCATCGAGTGCGGCAGTGCACAGGGGTGCGCACTGTGTACAGTGCCTTTTTTTTTTTTGTGTGTGTGTGTGTGTGAGAGAGCGTGATCTGTGAGATTCAGGGCCTCGCTCCACACCTCTCCACATGCACAAAAAAAATAAAAAATGAGGGTGTATCTTTCCATGTTCTAGCGGAAGCTTCATTCTCATTTGGCATGTTTGGGGATTAGTGCAACGATGCCCTCATTCTCATGTTGCACCCTCCAATACACATGCAAGGAAATCCAACGGGCCGTTCCAAGTTTCAACGGATTTCCTGGCATGTGTGCAGGGAGCCCAGCACACCAAATGCGCAAAATGAGAACGAATCTTCCGCTAGAACATGGGAAGATACACAGCCATATTTTTTGTCTTTTGTGCATGTGGTGAGTAGTTGAGCGAGACACTATAACGGGCATCGAACATGAGCCTCGCTCCACTAGGCACCCCATACACAAAAGACAAAAATATGGCTGTGTATCTTCCCATATTCTAGAGGAAGATTCATTCTCATTTTGCACATTTGGTAGACGGGCTCCCTCCACAGCAAATCCAATGAATAGTTTCAAGTTCCACTGGATTTCGTGGCACGTGTAGCGGAGAGAGGCCCACTGACCTACGGTCTCAAGCTTCTGTCACTTTCTGAAAGATTCTGGCGGGTATAAAAGGTAAGTTTCTCTTCTCTTTTTGCAAAAGCACCGAGTTCAGAGTCTTGTCGTTTTCAAATTCCCAAAATGAAAAGAACTAAGTTCCAACACACACCGATTGCTTTGCGGGCTGGGGATCTTCGATTCAGCCCTCACCCGACCTCTTTTTCCGGGGGGGGGGACCCCTATTTTAGCCGTTGCGGTGCACCACATGCATGCACAACATGCGCAATGCACAGTGCATCGCATGTGTGCGACTGTCACCCACGTGATGTGCCGCAACCATGGTATAAACCCACGTACACCCAGATTACCCACAACAGTACAAAGTACTATAAACCCACATATAGCCTGATTTACACACATGGGTATAAACCCACATATACCCAGGTTTGCCCGTATGGGTATAAACCCACGTCTACCCATATTTACCCACATTTCACCTTTGTGGTAGCAGATGCAGATCCCAGGGCTCGATCCCCAGACCTGCCCCGTACCCGTGTACAGTACAGTTTGCCCCATCTAGGTTTGAACACGTGACCTGCCCCTAAAGTTGTCTGTTTAAGGCTGATGTACATACGAGGGTTGAGTAGGTTCGAGCTGCTGACCTGTAGGGTAGGAGTCGTAGCTTATGTCTGTTCGTAGCTGCTGTAGGTCTGAAGGGTCAACCTTAGTCGCAGCTGCTACAGTACTGAAAGGGCAAGTAGGAAGGTCTAGAGTCTTCTAGGACTGCCCCTTTCGAGAGTCTTGGAAGCAGACCGTAGGCAAGTGGGCAAGTGGCCAAGTGGGCAGACTTACCAGGTCCAGTCAGCGTTACCCAGTCCCAGTCGCACCTTGTCCAGTGAGCAAGTACCATGTGGGACTGTGTGCATCCTAGGCCCGATGGAAAGGAGCAGACCAGCGACCAACCAAAGTATAAATCAAGAGGCAGCGTCCAATTATGGATTTATTCAGACTGTGAGCCGTGCAGAAGCACTGCCTGAGCGACTTGTGCAAGGAGGTCTGCGAGTGCCCGAGGAAGAAGTGGGCTGGAAGGGAGACGAATGGCCGCTAGTTAGTAGTAGAGGTAGCAAGCAGCCATAGCTGCACTAGATTAGAGATAGGCTGCAGCATGTTTGTGTATGAGTGTGCAGTGAGTTGTGAGTGTGTGTGGGACATCCAGGGAGATCCAGAGTAGCAAGCGTGTGAACTGTTGCTGAGGATACAGCGTGGAAGGGTGTTGTGAGGGCGCACAGGCGCCATAGCCATTCAAAGCAAGTTGAATTTGAACTGTGTTCTTGGCCACGATTTCTCTGAGCTTTGTGTGGGCGCTTGTCGCCAGTGTGATTGCCATCTGTTTCATGCATGCTAAGTAAGAAAGAAGATATTGCAATGGGTAATAAAGTTACTATAAACCCACGTATACCCATATTTACCCACACGGTTATAAACCCACGTCTACCCAGATTTACCGCATGGGTATAAACCCACATATACCTGGATTTGAAATCAGACCCGCCTTCCTCTTCGTACAGCATGCATGCAAACAGATGGCAAACCAAACTGGCGCCAGGCGCCACACAAAGCTCAGAGATATTCAAGCTGAGAACACAGTTCGGATACAAACTCGCTTCAAACTGGCTATGCCGCCCAAGCGCCTACACTTCACTTCCCAACTCTGTATTCACAGCGACTGTTCACACGCACTCAACTCTGGATCTCCCTGGATATCCCACGCACGTTCACTCTGTATCACACACACACTCTCTACTACCTATCGCTAGCTATGGCAGCTATGGCCGCCGGCTACCACTAACTACAAGCAGCGATGGCTGCTCTATCTCTTCCTCAGCCCATGTTACATCTTCGATGCCACACGGGTCCTACCGGACCCGACATAGGGTAGAGGGACACAGTAGGGCCAAAGGCCCGACCTTGGGGGTACTACAGGCCGTAAAGGCCTTACCTTGGACCAGACCCGACGGGCCGGCCCAAACGATGTTACCGTTTGGGCCTGGCGGCGCTCTTGAGGCTGCCGCCCGCCGGTTGGGGYTGAACCGTCCATCTGGACGGTTCAGGGCACAGTCCGGCCTCGCAGCATAGAGGCCGACCTCTGCCCACCGGTACAAAGGTACCGGTCCAGCCTCAGTGAGGCTATCGACCTACCGGCATTCTACCGGTACGGTAGGGTACAGCGCGATACAGMGCTGGCGCCAAGATTAGAGCAGGAGCAGCGAGGAGCAGCGCAGCGCAGATTAGCGCAGCAGCAGCAAGCGGAGCAGCAGCAGCGGCGACTGGGTTACCG